CCATTTAAGTTCATTTTATTCGCATTGATTTTAGTGCATGAGAATAAAGAACATTTATTAATCTAAGTATTCAGATTTACGATTATTTACTATGGCAGTAACAACACGGACATATGGATAATGCGTATTAATATACACAGGCTCAACTTGGCTCAACATAAGAATTAATTTCTTATCAAAAGTCCCTATTTACGGAGTTCAGACTGAAAATATTGAACTATTAACGAACCTAATTTACCCCGTGCTCAACGGCATGGTTCTTGTTAGTATCTATAGAATACTAGCGCTAATATTAATAAAAATAAAAATTATTGTGAATAACTATGGTACGGGGAAACAGTGTATATGCACGGGATGGTACGGATTGTGTGGCACGTATAGGCGCGTTTTACGTAATGGCACTAAAAATGACACGGTCATTACGGTAATGAGTGGCACGCTATATCACGTCACACGGAATGCACATTGTACGTGATGTCACTTCTTCATTTCACGGAAAGACACGTGTTAAAAGTGACACGTGTTCAGGGACGTGCAAAAATTTTGATATCAAATCGCAAATCTTTATTTGGGTATCAGCAAAAATTTGGGAAATTTTGGATTTTGGCCGGCATTACGAAATTAACTTTATAATTTAGGCCATGTCATATGACTAATAATGACCCGTGTCCCTGTTCTGTAGACCTGGTGCCTTGATCAGCCCATAGCTGATTATTCCACGTGATCAAAAGGCGAGTTTGACCAATAAAAAACAGATATTGTGTTGTTAAAACCCCCAAAAAATTTGGATTTATTTGGATTTTGTGCAAATATTTGGAAAAATTTAGAAAAATTTATTTCCAAAATTTTACATGTCCCTGCACGTGTTAAAAGTGACACGCGTTGGCTCGTTTCACGGAGTACAATAAGAGCGAAGGATCGCAAATGATTTTTTTTAAAAAAATTGTAATATCTCAAGAACTCGCAAGTAAACCTGCTCTGGTTATCTTAAGGAAAAGATTCTTTGCAAGATTATACACATTTGCAGTTACTTTAGTTTCCAGATATGTATATACTCCAATTATTACCAGTCCTCTTCTAATAAAATGTCTATTGGAAAGTGGACCGTAAATTTACATTTACTTACCGTCCCATTCACGTGCCATCAGCTCCGTGCAAAAGGCACGTATGATTTACGTGATTCACGTAAATTGGCACGGGTGTACTGATCAACACGGTCCGTAACAATTCGAATCATGCACGTGCAAACCCGGCCCATAGCCCGTGCCACTCGACCACGTGCCTATACACTGTTTTTCCGGGGTTCGCTTATGTCAAGAAAATCCCGAGCTGAAGATCACTGTAGATCCTTTCCGATCTGATTCCGAAGTCCAAATATTCACCAATCAGAATCAATTAAATTGAAAATCCTTTCGATGTTCTGGCTCCGGAATTATATCGGAAAGGATCTACGCGATCTTCAGCCCGGAATTTTCTTGACATAAGATCTACTATTCTTATTATAACGTACACTAAACATTATTTAATTTATTTTATGTACTACATACTAAGAATAAATATACGATTTAGTAGGATTTTATTTAATCGCATTAAATGAAACCTGCAGTGAAATATTTGTCGGAAATAATTATCGTGAAACAAATGTGATATAAAAACTTATCAACATCCCCATTGACTTGCTGGGCATCCTGCGCTTGATAAACCACAAGAACACCCGAATAGACCTACCATCCATTCTGGATTCTTACTAAATAAACCCAAAACAAGCAATAATATTACTACAACAAATCCCCAAAAAGAGAACCAAACATGAAATATCTTAGGCTTAGTCAAGTATTTTTCTCCTATCCAATGACATAAAAATGCTATAGCGTTGTTAAAAGACCATATGGCACAGATCGTTGTAAGATATTTACTTCGACAACGGTATCCGATTGGAGGTGTAAAGTAAGCCAAAAGCACTGTACTCCAAGGAAGAACTATTGATATAAAGGCAGTTAATGAAACCGTAACCAATTTTTGGCTTGTATCATCATCGCCGTTAACCATAGTTATTATTTTTTTCATTATCATTAAAAAATTCCACCTTAGGGTCTTTGACTACCAAGTTTCCCGAAGATATTCTTCTCCAGAGCGCAGGAATTGTCCAAGACAATAATAATGGTATATATGGCCAATCCTCACAAACCTGCGACCCAAATGTTCTAGATATTCCTGCTTATAATATAGTATAATGATATTACTGGTGATAATCTTTCTAGAACTGATACTTTTGCTGTGCATATATCTACGTATTTATTTATGCCTTGATTCTCTTTTGGTTTCATAGTGTACAATCCGACAGGTCTGTATTCCAATCCTTCATTAGTTTCGTCTTTAATAAAGTAATCTACTGGAAGCCAAAATAGGCAACGTGATTCTTTATTACCACCCACGTTGACGGCATAAAAAATTCCCATAAATGGACATCCAAGACATCGTAATACCCATGTAAGTTTTCTTGTAAATTTATTCGTTGGTGATGCGCCTACTATAGCTATAGCTGGTAAACAACCCAATACATATTGAGGTATGGGTTCCAACAACCTATGTACGAACTCTGGAAAATATGCCATTTGTGCTAGAATTGAAATTATACATTTTTTTAAAAAAAAAATAAAAAATAAAAAATAAAAAAAACCAATTAGATGACAAGCTTGGCACAATATATATTGTACATACTTGAATGATATTAAACATTAAAATTATACCTATGAGTTTGGATGTTATAATAAGCGTTTACCTTCACTACACAATCTGTGATATAAAAACGGTTGCTGAATCAGAGACTCCGGAGTTAATTTTAAATGATTCAAATTGAAAGGAAGGCGATAATTCGAGGCTTATTTTGTTTGAACACATCTTTTTACTGACAGGAAATGGTTCACTTTATATATATAATTTTATCACTATCAAATATTACACCTCTTTTACTTGCCGGACAAGACAATTCACTAACAAAATAGGGATGTTAAAATTGGTTAAATTTATTATATAAGCTAACTAGTTAAACCAGCTAGTCACATATAAATTGTATTGTAAGATTCAAAAGTGGTCAGACTATTTAAAATCCCTAATACAAAATTTCTTCATAAGTTGTAAAATTTGGTTAATTAATGTGGATCACGGAGATAGCCAAGTTCGTCTTTTCATTCATTTACGTACAGTACGTACAGTATGTACATACCTTACGTAAGCATGATATCCTCGCTTCTTTTTGTCAATATGGCACTAACTGAAAGTGTATATAAAATTCGGAAAATTCGAAAACCACTTATTACCTTACAATAAGCAATTTACGCAAATGTCTAACCAAATAACTTTCTCTAGCACATTAATTCCTTCACTCTTATTGACCTAAGCTATAGAAATTGCCATTAAAGTAAATGTAAATAGTGTTGATTTTATTTAAAAAAATAAAGAAAAAGATTATCGCTAGAATTAAGATTGGTTCAGGGACATGTGGGTTTTGCGATATAAATTAACAAATTATGTTTTCGATATCAGTAAATTATTTGATTTACTGCCGATTAACAATAAAAGTCCGAATTTGTATAAAATTTAAAAATCTATCTAATAAAAACTTCCATTATTTCAAAAAAAAGTTGCACTAAAAAAAAATTTTGGTTTTTATGCGCAAATATATAGCCTATGATATTTTTATTTCTTTGAACTATTGAAATATAAAATATTTTATTATATTTGCTAATAATTTCATCGTGTACGCTTGAAAAGTGCATTTTCTATAATTGAAGCAAATCGCAGTAAACCACATAATTTTTGTGATTGCTTCGATCACAGCAAATTACAAAATCCACAGGTCCCTGGATTGGTTCAATAATGTTAGTTAAAGTTTTATAAAAAAAAAAGGTTAGTCTTTAATATGCTTAAATTTTTTATTTCCTTTTTCATTTTTAATTGTCTGCAATTCTTCAAATCATGTGAAAGGTACAAACTTCTACACTGAAATAGGTTATTTGAATTACGACAATTCTGGATAGATTTGTCTATCCTAGTTAATCTGGACTTCTGAGACCGATTAGGTATTCAGTAAAGTAGTACTGTACGACAGTATAGATTCAGACGGACGTTGAAAACGTGTGACTTAATTGTTAAATGCTAAAACTACGCTAATAATAAGACTACAATATTAAAACTGTCTATTCTACAATCCAAGACCTTAAAGACTTCGATTTGGAAGGCAGAAAGTAGGCGTGTAGAAACTTGGTCCGAGTCTCGAAGCTTTTCGGGTCTTGCTGCGGCTTTCTTGATGGTTAAGATAAGTATATCGTCGAATTATACTTATCTTTGTTACTAATATTCTTCAACCGGAGCTAAGTATGTCTTTTTCTTTAAGTTTTGGCGGGTTCCAGTCTTTAATACAATCGTTAAGATTCTTAACGATTGTCACGTGTATCACGTGTAATATTTGCGGCGGTGATCGGCTATTTAATGATTCTTACGTCACGAGAAAGAATATCGATAGATCGGAGGCTTAATTCGGATTAACGTCACGAGTAGATATTAGCTGAGGTCGGAAGTTGGATCTTCAATTGATCGATGAGGTCACGAGATCCTGATGTCACGGGAAATTATGATGATCAATTAACGTTAATTGTTCGATCAATTAATTGTCAGCTCGATTAGTAACAATGCGTCACGGGGATAATAAGGTTTTAATTATTGTATTTTCGTTATATGAAAGGGGTTCTAACTAATATTCAATTCTCTTTTTCTTATTTTCTTTAAGCGATTATGAATAATTTGGGGACAAGGTTTTTATCAATAGGGACTTAGGGTCAAATAGGAGCTTAGAGTTAACACTTCTACTCGGATTTCGAAGGTTAAACCCTACTGTGGGCGATACAACGTAATAACGGTTTATCTTACGATAATATTGGGACAATGACAAGGGTAATTGGACGACTTATTTAGGAGCAAAGGAAAAAGATAAGTAACTTCTACTGTTATTATTTCGAAGTATAACTTAACTGCTCTTTATTACGGGAGAAACGCTCTCCTTATATAATTTTCTTTACATATATTTGAATTCTTCGAATCTAAATTATTCCTACTATTTTTTTTATAACGAGAATAATTATTAGGGGAATTTACAAATAAGGGACCGGAAAGTCAAAATAATTATAAAAACGGGCCCAAATTAAAAATAATTACATATAAGGGCCTAATTTTTTTAAAAATATTACATATAAGAGCCCAAAATAACCACGACACTATTTACGCCTGTGGCTTGATCGTTAGTAAGAAATGTAAGCATCACATAAAATATGTAAAAAGCGATTGTAAATTAGTAATTATAAATAAGAAAAGAAAAAGTTTTAAATTTAATAAATTTTGTGTGATTGTTATAGCAAGCCACAATGATGTCAAGTAAAACATTGCGAATTGGCATGGCATTTACTAATATAGAAGATGTCGTTCAGCTTTAGAGAGCTAC